TTATGTCCACCCCTACTTGGCTGACTTTTGTTTTAGTTTTCCTCTAATGATGATACGGCAAATCATAACTCTTTTCATATAAATTCCAACTTCGGAGGATCAATAAGCTGAAATCTTTATAAAGTGATTAAGGGTTGTATAAATGTATATTTAATTTATCATAACCATCCAATTGATTGTTGCTTGTGGTGAAGGGTGTCTTGAGAAAAGAGAAAAGAACATGTTTTCACCACTAATTACTTCACCATCACGAATCAAACCCATATAAGACATACATATATTCAATGATATCGAATGATAAATCAAATTCAGTAACATCATAAAAGAACGAATTTTATACGATTCGCTGAATTCACAGTATAGTATTATTTTAAAGGAATTAGTAAACTTAAAATTCAGTTTTTCACGTTTTTATATAACTTATAATTAATTTAAAAGGGGACAATAATCACGACATCGTTTCGAGTTTTATAATAAGCATATAAGGGAGAAAAGTGTGAGAAGTAGTAGTTAGCAAATCACATGGGAACATGAGTCATACTCATATAGCTAAAGATGATCTTCTAATATAGCTAAAAGGTGAACATTTTATTATTGTTATAAAGTAAGCTATCATTCAAACATTTTCTAGTATTATAATATACATGGGACTAAAGTTACAATTCATATTGATAACAAATGTTTTGCGTAAGAAAATAAATGTCTTTTTTCATTTACATTACAAAGTTGGCCCGACTTTGTCTTCAAGTTCAAATCACCCACCTCTTTTTTTGGTTGTTTCTGATTGCATTATTCATTGTTATTTTAGCAAAGAGTTTTCCATTGGTAGAAATATATATGGTGATTGGTGACTTTGCTACATTCATCCATTGTCTGCTCAATAAAGGACTATCCCCCTTTCTTTCTCAATCTCTCGTGCATTTAACTTGTCCCAGAAGAAACATTAGTTACAGATCTTCTTCATCAGTCACTTTATTTACCTAAAACAAGATGAACCAAATAAAGTATGTTTACTATCGATACATGTAATTCCTTCTTTATAACTAGTACATGAATGTTTCATAGATATTTTGGCTACCAAACGAGCATTCGTTTGTTAAGACAAAATAAAACAGATATTTTAATGTAATTCCAAGGTAATACATTCACCACTAGTTTTAGAATTGTGACTCTAAATGATGTCCGTAGCAAAAAGAAAAACAAATGGAGCCATTGCGATGTGTGGTTTAGCTACTAGAATGGATTGGGTGATTTGACTGGTTCATTTGATAAAATCATCCAAAAGCTTGTCCAAACCCTAAGACACCCAATTGAGGATAAATATCACACAAAAGGAAAAAAAACGACAGCACCTTTGAGATAAAATGAGACTAAAGAAAAGAAAACAAAAAATATTCGATCATAAAAACAAGTTATAAGAAAACAAAAACATCCTCAATGTATGACACATAAAATTAACAGCACTATATCAAAATATTGTTTTTTTTTCTTAATAGTTTTAAAACAAAATGTATTTAAATCTTCCACATAGACATTTGTCGAAATGAAATAAAAAAGCTTGTTGGTTCTGAATTCTGATGAATCGTAGCCATGCATTGCTTTGTCTAGAAAGCAATGCAGTCATTGCTTTGTCTAGAAAGCAATGCAATCCGTTTAGACTTTCAAATAACCTTTGGAGCAAGATTAAACTCTATTGCATCATTTCACACCTTGCACCACTACTGACTGAAAAAAAATAAATAAATAACAGCCAGAATGAAAATGTGTATGCAAACTGTAAGGACAAGTATGAAGAAAAGAAAAATAAATAAAAATAGTGGATCTCCTAGTTCCAAATTGAGCTTTACAGCATAACATTTTTAGGTTTGGGCACGAGCTGAATATCTACTAATTTTCAAGTATTTGTGATTCGGTTTGGTTTGTTCAAGTAACATAAACTTCGATTTGATATTTGATTTGTTCGAAACAAGACTTGCTATATCAAATACTCGTCAAAAATTATATTATTTGTAAGTAATTTGACTCGGTTTGTTACTTGACAAAATTATATATTTGCTATTTGAAAGTACATAAATTTAAATCCGTACAAATTACAAAACATTCAAAGTTCAAACATTCTAAAATCACAAAACATTAGATTTTCAAAAGATAAGCATTTTAAAAAAATAAGTTTTTGGTTCAATGCTGCACATCATAGTAATA